GCCATGTGATGCTGGTGATAGAAGCGCCAGAGCGCATCAGCGCCAACTCGGAGCTTGCTCAGTTCCTGGAGCCAATCTGGCAGCCGCATCTTTCTTGCTCTGTTCGTTCGCTGAGGGGGGAGGGAGGCAGGGATGCGCTGGGGGAAGGGAGGGAGAGATCTGTAAGAGAGAAACAGGGAGGGAGCGATGTGTGTAGCATCTCTTCCTCGGCGGAAGGTGGCGGAAGGCCGGCGGAAGCTGGCGGAAATGAAACGAGGCCGTCTCCGCCAGCGGAAGCCGGCGGAAGCAAGGAACTATTTTCCAAGGGCGAACATTTTTGGTGTTTTAGGGCCTCTGGTATCCGCCACACGGAGACAGAAAGAGAGAGAGAGAGAGAGAGCCAGATAGTGGCACACACACGAACTCACATATATACCTATACGACCACCCTTCGGGTGATAAGGAGGTTCGGGGGGGGGAAGGAACCAACGTCTCACTCGACCGGTCTCACTATCGATTTCTGTATCGATCTCATTATCGGTCTCGCTCGATCGATCTCACTCGATCGATCCCACAACCGATCTCACTCGATCTATTTTATTCGATCGATCTCACAATCGATCTGACTATCGATCTCACAATCGATCTCACTATCGATCTCACTATCGATCTCACAATCGATCTCACATTCGGTCAAACTATCGATCTCACTATCGATATCATCATCGATATCACGATCAACGTCATCATCATCATCATCATCAACCTCATCGTCATCAACGTCATCAACATCTTCATCATCAGCATCATCCGAACACCATAATCATCATCACCTCATCAACATCATCATCAGCATCATCACCGTCACCATCCTCCTCATCATCATCATCGGGACACCATCATCGTCACCATCATCATCATCACATCAACACCGTCATCATCGGGACACCATCATCATCGGGACACCAGCATCATCATCATTTCACCATCATGACCATGAACAACATCATCAACATTATCATCATCATCGGGACACCAGCATCATCATTAACAACATCATCATCAACATCTTCATCATCGGAACACCATCATCATCGTCACCATCATCATCATCGTCATCATCATCAACATCATCGGGACACCATCATCATCATCATCAACATCAGCATCATCATCACATCATTGAGCCACCATCATCAAAGTCATCATCACCACCTCATCATCGTCCTCATTATCAACATCATCATCATCATCATCATCGGGACACCATCATCGTCATCATCATTATCATCATCATCATTATCATTATCAACATCGGGACACCATCATCATCACCATCATCATCAACAGCATCATCATCAACCTCATCATAATCATCATCATCATCATCATCATCATTATCATCATCATCATCATCATCATCATCATCATCATTATCATCATCATCATTATCGGGATACCATCATCATCATCATCATCATCATCATCTCCATCAACATCATCAAACCGTCTGATCATCATCAACATCATCATGATCATCAACATCATCATCATCATCGGGGCACCATTATTATCATCAACATCATCATCATCGGGGCACCATCATCATCACCATCACCATCATCATCATCATCAACATCGTCAACATCATCATAATCATCGGGACACCATCATCACCACCATCACCATGATCATCATCATCATCATCATCGTCAACATCGTCAACATCATCATCATCATCATCATCATCATCATCATTATTATTATTATTATCATCATCGGGACACCGACGGGACACCGCGCGCCTCCGGCCCCCGAGCGGGACACCGGCGGGACACCGCGGGGCACCGGTTGCCGGAAGTGAGATTTTTGGTCCAGCCGCGCCTCAGCTATAGGAGACTTATATCTCGCTCGCCCACGCATCTTCGCCTCGCCCGTACGCACGGCACGCACGAACACGAAACCGAAACCCATTTCCCGGTAGGGGGGCTCTCCGTTCCATTTCGATCTCACCCCCTCACCTCCGATACATATATATATATATATATATATATGTGCGCACATTCTTGTATAAATATGAGCATATAGTTGTACATTTGCATAGAAAGAGGGAGGGACAGTGAGACATAACCAGATCAACAGAAAACGACAGAGGCGGAACGATGTGAGGCACTCAGGTGCGCGTAATTGGTTATGTATTGCACATGTCTGCTCTGACAGCGAATGCGTGCGTGCATAAGATATACAAAGGGGGTTAGATGCTTTGGCTGAGAGGGGACAGCGCGGATGGTGGTGGTGTCGATTACGATGATGACGACGACGATGGTGTCGAGGATGACGACGATGATTGTGATGCTACTGATGACGACGATCATGATGAGATGGTGAAGATGTTATTTTTTTTTGTATCTGTATGTGAGTTGGTCTCGACCACGTGTGTGAATCATCATTCCGTCTCCTGGCCAAGTCATTGGCGTACTATGAGAAGGAGGAAAAGGGGGAGGAGGAGGAGGAGGAGGAG